TTGACCTCGTGATCCACCCGCCTCGGCCTCCCAAAGTGCTGGGATTACAGGCTTGAGCCACCGCGCCCGGCCCTTTTTTTTGAAGACAGAGTCTTGCATTGTCACCAGGCTGGAGTGTACTGGCGTGATCTCAGCTCACTGCAACCTCCGACTCCCAGATTCAAGCGATTCTCTCCTGCCTCAGCCTTCTCAGTAGCTGGGATTACAGGCACGTGCTACCATGCCCAGCTAATTTTTGTATTTTTAGTAAAGATGGGGTTTCATCATGTTGGTCAGGCTCGTTTCAAACTCCTGACCTCGTGATCCATCTGTCTCGGCTTCCCAAAGTTCTGGGATTATAGGCGTAAGCCACTGCGCCTGGCCAATTTTTTTGTCTTTTAAAACTGATCAGTTCTCCTTGGGTGGGGAAAGCAAAGTATGCTTCTATTTAATCCTATGTGTGTGTGTACCTTAGCTAACTTTAAAAAAATACACTGAGCCCTTTTTTAAATGAAATAAATTTTGAAAAAGCTTTTGAAATTGGAAGGTAGGCAGTATTATTTTCCATAATAGTGTGCTCCCATGCCTCTCTGCTATTCATACAAGTATTGGATGAAAGCTCCTTCTTTTCCCTGCTTTGCTTGTTTCAGAATGTAAGAGTGCAGCAGAAAATGTCCACTGAACGGACTTCTTGGACAAGCCTGTCCACCATTCAGAAAATAGCCCTGGGCCTTGGGATCCCAGCCAGTGCAACAATTGCCTATATCCTATACCGCAGGTATAGGGAAAGCAGAGGTAAGTGAGCCCTATGACTCTGCATGTGAAAATGTTCAGACATGCTCCTGCCTTGTTAAATTGAAAAAACTCTTTCCTTGCCAGATGTTGTGTGGGTTTTGTTTTGGGGTTTTTTGAGACAGGGTCTCACTCTGTCACCCATCCCGGAATACAGTGGCACGATCATGGCTCACTGTAGCATCAACCTCCTGGGCTCAAGCAAGCAGTCCTCTTACCTCAGCCTCCAAGTAGCTGGAACCACAGGCATGTGCCACCATGCCTGGCTAATATTTGTATTTTTTCTAGAGATGGGGTTTTGCTGTGTTGCCCAGGCTGGTCTTGAACTCCTGAGCTCAAGCAACCTGCCTGCCTCAGCCTCCCAAAGTGCTGGGATTATAGGCATGTGCCTCCATGCCTGCCTGAGGTATTGCAATTGGCTTTCTGAGAGGATCTTTGACCAAAATTACTCGTCTTTTTTCCTTTGAGACAAAGTCTGGCTCTGTCACCCACACTGGAGTGCAGTGGAGTGATCTCGCTCACTGCAACCTCCGCCTCCCATGTTCAAGCCATTCTCCTGCCTCAGCCTCCCAAATAGCTGGGATTACAGGAATGTGCGACCACTCCTGGTTAATTTTTATATTTTTACTAGAGATGGGGCTTCACCACCAGGTGGCTGACCTCAAGTGATCTGCCTGCCTTTGCCTCCTAAAGTACTGAGATTACAGGTGTGAACCACTATGTCTGGCGTAGTCTTTCTATGTTCTTACATAGCAAAGTAAGCTAGTCTATGAAATGAATTCATTTTATAACTCCATTGATCTGTTTTCTTCAGAAACAACCACACAGCAACGGGTTCTTTTTTAACTTCTATACTCTTTTCTCGTATATATTCCTTTTCTCTACGTAGTTGTTAGAAGGCACTTTCCTCAAAGGCTGGATCTAGAGGATAGGACCTAGAGAAATGACTTACGTACATATCAGTCAGGAGAAGTTCTGAGCCTAATGGACACCTCAGGCGACTTTTGCCCTTCATTCTTCTCCAGTAGTCATGTCTTGGGAGAAGTAGTTTGCCCAAACCCCACCACCCCTTTATTGCAGAGTCTGCTTTTTCCATTTTGGCATCTGAAACTGTGTCCCAGAAAAAATGCCCATCTCTGACCTAATACCTGCTGAGATGCCACTTTTCCTTGTTATTGTGGTTGAGAATCCTCAGTTTATCTCTTGGATCGGTGTCTCTTCGACAGCCAGATTCTGGGGAGGACTGGTAGTTATAATAGCTTTGGGTGTTATCTAAGTCTGATCTGATGAATGATGATCTGTGCAGAAGAGCGGCTGACATTTGTTGGGGAAGACGACATTGAGATAGAGATGCGGGTTCCCCAGGATGCTGTAAAACTCATAATTGGCCGGCAAGGAGCCAATATTAAACAGGTAAGTGTGTGAGCAGGAGTCCACTTCTCTAAGGATTGATTCTGTTCATTGATTTCATGTTTTTTTCCTCTGACTCCATATCACAAAATACTCCCATGCTTGCTCACTCGCTCGGTCTCTCTCTCTCTCACGCTCTGTGTGTGTGAGTGTGTGTGGGTGTGTGTGTTTTTTTTTTTTTTTTGAGATGGAGTTTCACTCTTGTTGCCCAGGCTGTAGTGCAATGGCGCAATCTCAGCTCACTGCAACCTCCGTCTCCTGGGTTCAAGCGATTCCCCTGCCTCAGCCTCCCAAGCAACTGGGATTATAGGCGCTTGCCACCATGCCCAGCAAATTTTTTGTATTTTGAGTAGAGATGGTGTTTCATCATGTTGGCCAGTCTGGTCTCAAACTCCTGACCTAAGGTGATCTGCCCGGCTCAGCCTCCAGAGTGCTGGGATTACAGGCGTGAGCCACCGCATCCAGCCACTATGTATATTTTTAAAAGAACAAATAGAGGAACTTTTTAGCTAACTAAACTTGTTAGCTACTTCCCTTTTAGAGAAGAGTACTCCCTAGAGAAAGGATGACTTAGCTTGAAATAAGGGTTTTTGACTGGGTGATTATCACCATGGTGGTATAGCTTGAATTACCCTTTTCTATGGAATTAATGAACTCATTAATTGACAGTAAATACTGAATGGCTACCTGGTTCTTACCATCTTCCATTGTTCAGCTGAAATGTCAAGAAAACAAAATATTTGATTCTCCAGTCCAAATAAATTAGCAGGCAGAAAGGATTCTATACACAAAGATAAATGGGTTCGAATTCACTGCTGTTTGGGGTTACATTTGTTACTACTCTCCTTACATAAAGTAACTGAGGACTGGTTTAGCCAATTCCTTTGGCTAACACTACTTCCAGGATTTGGTTTAGAGTATCTGTAGCTGACTGGGCTCAAATGGGAGCTCTTCTAGAATGTACTGCCAAATGTCCTTTTCTCTGCAGCTGCGGAAACAGACAGGTGCTCGGATTGATGTGGACACAGAGGATATAGGCGATGAGCGAGTGCTGCTTATCAGTGGTTTTCCTGTTCAGGTGTGCAAGGCCAAAGCAGCAATCCATCAGATCCTGACAGAGAATACCCCAGTGTCTGAGCAGCTCTCAGTTCCCCAGAGATCTGTGGGCAGAATCATAGGTACCACTGGATGGCTTCCTCTACTGTTTCCTTTATTCTTTACCTTTGCCTCTCTTCCACACCTTCCCAAGGGTTTCTTCTGGCTTAGTTCCCCTTCAACGTGTAAGGGAAAAAAAAGACAGGGACATTAAGACCAGAGGTTTACTGTTTGGCAGAACTAGTGGTAAAACCCTGTTTCCTCAAGAAGTTGTATGATTTGAACCTTATAAAATGATTCCTTAAGGGTTCTAGTAGATGTATTAAATTTACCTGTTAATTGATTTTTAAAGGTAAGCTTGGGATGCTCATGTTATCTCAGGTCTTTGAAGATAGTGCTCTAGAGAGTACCTTTTATGCTTTCCCCTAGAGCATCCCTTAGTGCTGCTGTTAGAGGCAGAGAAACGTCCTGCCCTTGATCCAGTGTTCTGACACACCATGTAGCATATCTTCTTGTGACTTGGTATGGCCATGCTGAGCGGTCAAAATGAAAATGACGTGAAGTTAAACTAGCCAGAGTATAGAGTTTAAATAAAATGGATAAAGCAAATAATATGGTATTCTCCTTTTCACAGTAATGATTTCAGTAGCTCCTGCTTCCCATACAACATCTTATATTTTGTTCACTTTAGAAATGAGAACTCATTCTCTTCTCTTAGTATATACAAAACAGTGATATTTCCAGTCGCTAAGGTTGGCCAGGAGGGAAGGGCAAGTTTTTATGTATTGTTCAATGTAGGGAGAGGCGGCGAGACGATTCGTTCTATCTGTAAGGCCTCTGGAGCCAAAATTACCTGTGACAAAGAATCAGAAGGGACATTACTACTATCAAGACTTATAAAAATCTCAGGAACACAGAAGGAAGTGGCAGCAGCCAAGGCAAGTAGCTGATAGACTTGAACTATACCTAAGCATGAGAAGATCCTTTTACTCTATCCTGGGTCAGAATATCATCCTTTCTCTTATTTTCTACAGCATTTGATACTGGAGAAAGTTTCAGAAGATGAAGAACTTCGGAAGAGAATTGCTCATTCTGCAGAAACTAGAGTCCCACGCAAACAGCCAATCAGTGTGAAAAGAGAAGAAGTGAGAGAGCCAGGTGGAGCTGGAGAGCCAGCTTTATGGAAAAATAGCAGTTCTAGCATGGAGCCGGCTGCACCCCTGGTGACTCCTTCACCCAAAGGAGGAGGCGACATGGCTGTGGGAGTGCCAAAGGAAGGTTCCTGGGAGAAACATAGTGATGACAGCTTCCAGAAGTCTGGAGCCCAGGCCATCCCAGAGATGTCCATGTTTGAAAGTATGTAACAAAGAGGGAGCCCATTAATCACAGAAGATAGAAATACTGGCTTAGACATTGAGAAAGCATTCCTTGTAATCTCTCCAGTCTGTGAGCAGCCAGTATAATATGGCTGGAGTCAGGATAGCAGATTCAGTAAGATATGAAGGTAGGATAGTGGTAGAGGCTACACTAACAGTTGCTGGGCAGTTTGAGGTTACAGATGTTGATCACTGAAAATGATTTATGCAGGTTTAAGATTCTGCTCCTAACTGCAGGAGAAAACTTGGTGCCTCTTCCACTCTGGACCAAAGTTGATGGAAGTCTTCCTTTTCCAAAACCCAGCCGGAACCACTTCTTTCTTGAGACAGACTATACTGAGACAAGTTGTCACCAGCAGAAGATAGATATTAACAAAGATGAATTTTATTAACAAAGATGAATTAACCAAGAGAGTATTTGTAGTTTATTATTTACCCTAAAACTTTCTGTGTCTGGGTACCCTCTGAGTAGACCTGTAATTCCTGCCTTCATTGTAGGCATTTTCTGTAAACTAGCAGACCTATGTGGTGAAAACGCACAGGAGCTTGGAGGTATAAATAGACTGGTGGGAAAGAGAGAGCTCCTTCTGCCATGTTTTACCAGCCTGCTCTGTTATAACCTCTTAGGTTATATCCTTTAATTTCCAACCTTTTAGGTTAGTTTCTGTAGCAGAACAAGTGAGTCTAGGATAATATCCTCAAAGTACTTCAAATGTTTTGTTTTTGTAACAACTTGAATAAACACAGGTTTTCTTAAAAAAAAAAAAAAAAAAAACTGGCTTAGGGCATGGTAGTGCGACCTGTGGTCCCAACTACTTGAGAGGCTAAAGTGGGAGAATCATATGAGCCCAGGAAATCGAGGCTACAGCAAGCTGGGATCGCACCACAGCGCTACAGCCTGGGTGACAGTGAGACCCTGTCTCAAAAAAAGTTTTTTTTTTTTAAAAAAGAAATACTGGCTTAGATTGCCCAAAATAGGAAGCAATAAAAAATCTTTTCTGTTTTCATGAATACGCTTATGTTTATCATCACAGATATTCCTTTCTGGTAATATTTTATTTGGATTAATACTACACATAATATTTTTCTAAATATAAAACAGTTGATGATGAAAATGAACAAAATATGCTGACACAGGAAACAAATGAGTAATATATCAAACAATTGGATTTACATGATACTATTTCTCTAGACATAC